TCCTGTGGAGACCTGCATCAGGGCTCCTACTTACTCTAACGCACCAAAGGCACCAGACTAACATTCAGACTACACTACTTGGGGCCTCACAACATAAGCATGCGGACCTGCAGAACTTAAATCGCTAGTGGGGGGCAAGAAAGGGTTTGGGCTAAGGGGTCTAGTGGAGGGGGCCTCAATAAGTATAATAGGCAATCGGGTACACGTTTTCATAGTGAGCATGCTAGAAGTAGCAATGCAAAAGTTAACAACAATGCAATAGCAGTTGGGGAAGATACGCTGAACATGGCTAAACGAAAGGGCTCATACAAGTAGAATGGTGGAGAGTCAAATTGACAATAGCATGGAAGATGAAAAGGAATTTGGACTACATAGGCGTCGGTAGAAGGATTGTACATACAGGCACTTTTTTGATTGGTTAAAAGTCTGGTGTACCTTATACTACAATTAGGATCGTAAGGGAATAGCGTTGTCCAGAACTCTACATTACAGGGTCTAGGTTTGGGGGTTTCTCGGGTTTAGGGGTTGACGGTCCACATGGCTAAGGATTTGCAGTGTAAGAAAGACTTCCAAGTCATGATTGATGTCTCAAAGTCCAGCGTTCAGGGCTTCAGGTTCTGGACGGTGGGCTGGAGTTATGCGACTGCAGTTTGCGGTTTTCGAAATTTTGGTGCATGGGTGCATGCATATGCGTATCGTCATGATCGGTAGAAGGTTTTGCAGCATGCTCGCCATTGGTGTATGGAATGTACGCACATACATACATACATACATACATACATACATACATAAATTACATACATACATACATACATACATACATACATACATACATAGATACGTACATAGGTACAGAGGTACATAGGTACATACGTACGCACGTACATCATACATACATGCATACAAACCCACAGACATGCAGCTATTCATGCATGCACACATACATACGTATACCTACACCTACAGCTACACCTACACACACATGCACTTACTTACTCGATGAGATACACATTGTGGACAGGGTGCTTGAGCTTGGCTGTTCTTCAGGGCTTACGAGGGCTTCAGGCCGAAACTCCGACCAGAACTGGATTTTGGGGGTAGATTTGGCTGAAACTTGCAAGGACTGACCATGAGTGAGTTGTCTTCCTCGTTATTCAGGCTTCTACATCTAAGGGTTTAGGGTTTTGCCCCCCCTGAAGTGTTGAGAGGGACGTGGGTCGCAGGCCGCACCGTATGTGCTGGTCGACTCTCACTCTCACTCACTCACGGTTAGGGTTTTGGGACTGGCGTTGATTGGGTAATTATAGACAAAAGGGTGACGGGATCGAGTCTGCTTGTAGGGGGATGAGCTCGAGAGTCTAGTGTGCTATATGGCAGCTTCCAGACATGGGCGGACCCCCAGAACAGGGCCCAGATTATTCCAAAAAGGGGTCTTAATTTTCGCCCCGCCCCGCACGTGACGAAAAGCCGTTCCACGTTGGAAGCCCGCAAACCCTGATAACCTAGTAGTTTTGCACTTGCTCTTCCATGCCCAACTATTAATGCATAAGTCAGATTGAATCCCAAAGGGTCCAAGTAGTTATATAGTACATATTTAGGGCCCAAAGGGGTTCCCATATAACTCTTTTAGGGCCAAAGTGTATGCTATATATCTACCTGGACCCCTAACCCCTAAACCCTAAACCCGTAAACCCTAACCCCTAAACCCTAAACACTAAACCTACATGGACCCTTTGGGAATGCTGTGGTTGCCGAGCCTGGGACACAGCTCCTCTGCAGTGCGGTTCAAGGGATCCCGTGGAAGCCTCGACCGGCGGCAGGAGTTAAGGTCCACCTAGAAAGCCTAGTTACCCATAATAACGGGCTACTTTAGCCCAAAGTAGTAGGAAATTAGGGGAAAGTTGCCTATAATTATGGGTAACTGGCTTCCTAGGCAGAGTCTAGAGTGGAAGGTTTTGGGTCTTGGGTTAGGAGTTCGGGGTCTCAGGACTTAGGGTTTAGGGTTTAGGATTTCAGGATTTAGGGTTTAGGGTCTCAGGATTTGGGGTTTAGGGTTTAGGGTCTCAGGATTTAGGGCTTAGGGTTTAGGGTCTCAGGTTTTAGGGCTTAGGGTTTAGGGTCTCAGGTTTTTTGGGTGCTTTTCCCATCCTTGGTCTTTGAGCGGCTTCTATGTTGAGGATAGGCTCAGGACCGAATACTTAAAAAAAAACACAAAAAAAGGTTGCAAGAGGCCATTGCAAGACTCTTCAGGGAGTGTCTTAAATGGAGGTATATTCTTGAGATTGTTCCTGGGGATGTGGAGGGTTCTAAATGAACATAATGGCACTTCCTCTTCAGCAGGTGTCATGTAGAGGCAGCTTTCCCAAACGATTGGCATCAGGCTAAACGTATTCATATTGAAGCACGGTAGAGAGTAGTCAAATACTGACAATAAGAACCCTGAAGCAATCATACTGTTGGTGCTGATGGAACCCTTCATGACTATAAGCACCTTATACCTTAGGATTTATGGGCCTTCTAGTATATCGGCCTCACGTTGGATGGTCGGGATCTATCCGGCCAAGGAGTAGTGCTGAAGCTTGCCCTTATGTTTGCCAGCTCTCGGGAGGCCCCCAGCAGTTTTGGAGTTTGAGACCTGAGATCAGCCCACGTGGCAATTCCTCCCTAACCCTACGCCTGAACCCTACGGGACCAAGGACCCAAATAATGAGGCTTTAGGGCCCAAATACCATGAATATTGTAGAAAAAACCCTATCATTTGGGTCCTTGGACCCTTAACGTAAAGCAGTTGCCAGAGATCGGGAATTTACTTTAAGCAGGCATCTTAAGGCTGAAGGCTCCCACATGTAAGGGCCATGCTGCGCCGTTCTGGGCCCAAAGTCTTCGGGACATTAACCCTAAACCCTCAACCCCAAAGCCTATAAGGCCTAAACCCCAAACCCTAAGGCCTAAACCCCAAACCCCAAATCCTAAACCCCAAACCTAAACCCTAAACCCCGAATCCTAAATCCTAGACCCCAAACCCCCAACCCCAAATCCTAAACCCTCAAGACAAAAATAAATGGAAATTGTATAGTTTCGCAAGCGGACATGCAAGTTTGTTTGCCCAAATTTCCATATGAACCATGAAGCGCTGTTCCCAAATCCCTGTTCCGGGCAAAAGCAAGCACTAAACCTCCAGAGAGCCCTTCCGACTTTTGGACAAAGCAAAACGACTGTTTGCCCCTTGCCCTTCAATTTCTCCGCTTTTGCGCTTAGTGTTCGCCCTAGAAAAGGCCCAGAAGATACCCAGAAGAGGCTTCGAGGCCGACCCGAGGCACAGAAAAGGTCCAGAAAAAGGCCAGAAAAGGCTGCGAGGCCCAGAAAAGGTAGAGGCCCGAGGCACAGAAAAGGTCCAGAAGAGGCCCGGCCCTAAAAAAGGCTTACGAGGCGGGAAGAGGTCCAGAAGCCTAGAAAAGGCCCAGGAAGCCCACAAAACACCCAGAAGAGGCCAGCCCTAGAAAAGGCAGAAGCCTAGAAAAAGACCAGGCCCCGAAGAAAGGTCGAGGCCCAGAAGAAGCAGAAAAGGTTGGGAAGTGGTCCAGAAACCCACAGAAGGCCCAGAAGAGGCCGAGGCCCTACAAAAGGCCCTTGAAAAAGCCCCAACCCAGGCTTTCCAGAAATAGAAAAAGCCCAGAACAAATAGAAAAGGCCCAGAAGACCCCGAGGCCCAGAAAAGGCTGGGAAGAGGTCCAGAAGCCTAGAAAAGGCACCAGAAAAAGGCCCCCAGGCCCAGAACCCCACAAAAGAAAGCCCTAGAAAAGGCCCAGAAGAGCACAGAAAAGACTGGGAAGAGATCCAGAAGCCTAGAAAAGGCCCAGAAGAGGTTTTCTGAGGATTTCCGTAAGAAATTTTGCCTATTTTGCCATTTTGGGAAGCCAGAAAAAATCAATTTTGACATTTTTGGTTTTCTGGAACCCTCCCAAGCCCTGAGGCTGCGAGACAGGCTTGGAAAAACCACCAAAAAGTCATATTTTGGACAAATTTCGAAGAGCAAAAGCAAAAGCCAAAACCGCACAAAACTCGCTCAAAACCGCACAAAACTCTGGACATGAACCCTATACAATTTCTATAACCCCAAATCCTAAACCCTAAACCCCAAATCCTAAACTCTAAACCCCAAATCCTAAAGCCTAAAACCTAATCCACTTGCCGGTAGCAGGGACTGAGGGAGTGGATTCCTGCTGTCGTCCCACATAACTCTTCACAGGGGTTTAGGGTTTAGGATGTTGGGGTTTAGGGTTTGGG